GTTTGTACCATGGTTGCTATATGGTCACCTGTGCCATAGTTACGTGGTCGTTTGTACCAAAAAAATGACCGTTTGTGCCATAGTTATATGCTCATTTGTACCATAGTTACCTAGTTAATTTTAGTAAAAAAATAGCCGTTTGTGCCAAAAAAATGGTCACTTGTGCCAAAAAAATGGTCGTTTGTGCCAAAAAAATGGTCACATGTGCCAAAAAAATGGCCATTTTGACCGCGTTACCGACAGACAGACAGACAGACAGACAGACAGACAGACAGACGGACAGACAGACAGACACAGGTGAATTTCGGTTTCTAGACCCTAGCCTTTCAGTCTAGGGAAAAGTAGTGAAAGATTTATCGAAGTGAATATTTCATCTATTGAGTAATGAACTAAATATTCTTTTTTTCTTAACGAAGAAGAGCACAAGTATTTACTTGCAAAAGTACACTCTTCAGATCTATATACTACCGGCAAGCCATTTACTGCAAATAATGATGATGGATCGATCTACAATGACGAGCACAGCATTCAGTGACTAATGGAGCACGTCGAGTCAGGGTCTCACTCCATAGTTGTTACTCTAAAAGTAATACTGTGTTATGTTCACATTCTTATTTGATTACTGACAAGATGGACATGAAAAATATGTGGGTTATTGACGATATTGTGAATAAGAATTAGGTTCGGGTCCAAAACTTTTCGACTTGATGGACTCAACTAACAAGAGGAATATACGAAAGATGCGCACGGAACGTGAGATGAGGATTTGAAAATAATACTGACCGATCACAGTCATTATACTCACACCATCATTTAGCACTCTTAGAATCGCCATGTGCATCTGTTGGTATCCAAAAACAAATATACCAAACGTTTCATTTCCACCGTAATGATTATTCTTGATACGTACTTTCAAAAAACCATACTCGAAGTGATTATAAAATATAGAAAAAAACTGTATGTCATTGATGAATGTTGCTGTCAAATAGAAAATGATTGAACTGTTGTCATGTTTATTTCACTAAAAAGAGGATCAATGATTACAGAATTCTATTAGAAACATACTTTTGTAAAAAGATTTTGATACCACGGAAAGAAAACCTATTTAAACACAACCGCGAAAACATTCTTGTAAAATACAACATTTTATTCATCAAATAAAATAGATAACCAAATTTCATTTTCATCAGTGTTTTTGATTATTCTCGTAAAGTTGAAAGTATGTTAATATTCTTTCAAATTAACAGATGGTTTTTGTTGAGAAACAAATCAAAATCTCAATATAGAATGTTGAACAAATAAAATTTTTCACAGCTATCACGACTGAAAATGACAAGATTAGATATAATTAAATATCCATATCATGAACAATTGAGAAAGAGAAAACTAATAAAAATTCCATTGTATTTACTTATTGTTGAGTTCGATTGTATCTAGTTATTTCAATAAAGTCAGATGTCATATAACTGGTATCAATAAAAATATTCTGCAGTTACTTACATCTATTTACAATAGTTATTCAATAAGGAAATAAGTAAACTTGAATAAAACAATAGCACATCAGAAAATTTTAAAGAAATGCAGTATAATTTAATTTTACATATATAACTGAAATTTTGGTTCTTTTTGAGTACGATCATGAGATTAGCAAAGAAGACATCATCTGTAATATGAGTTAACATTTATTCATAACAAACGAGAACTGATGAAAAGAACTAAAACAACAAAAATTAAATTAAACTGCATTTCTTTAAAATTTTTTGATATACTATGGTTTTATTGAAGATCGTAAAATCTTGAGTAGGTTTTAAATGGCCAGTTATTAGTTCTCATGGTTATGTTTATATGAATTTATTTACTCGTTGTGCATAGTAACACAATATTTTTTTTGTTTTAATTTCTTTTAATCAGTTATTGTTGGTTAGGAATCAAAATGTGTATCAGTCAAATGAATAAAAAACTTAGAAATATATGAAAAAGTAGCATGTCGCGATATCACAAGTGTATTGATATTATCTGTATCATTTTTGCATTTAAAACTTTTACTACATTTTTTCAATACTCTGTGTAGAAAATAGCAATGCAATGTTACTATTTGTTCACTGTTGGCAATTTCTTTATCAATTCTGATATGAGCTTACTAATGAGTGTTAATAAAAAAAAATATTATAACTAGACCGTTTCTCAGTTACCGAAAACGTAATTTTTTAGTTATGTACTTGTAATACAAAATGTAAGTTAAAAAAAAATATAATGATCAAGTTAAGCATTGATGATATCATCTTGCTTTATTCAAACAAATACATCAAGCATACGATTCAATTATCGTGTTTTTTTTTATTTTTGAATTACGAAAGTAAGAAAGGTTCATGTCGTCAATACCTCCACCAGTTTTAGCTAAGAAACTATGAGCGATTCTTCTCATTATTTGCAAATTATATGAAACAAAAAAAAACAAAATTTGAATATGATTTCTTGATGAATCGTAGAAATTAATAAAAGAAGAGCAGCTAATATAACACTAGAAAACAAAATTTCTTTTTATTAGACACATAATACGAATGAATAAAAATCAAAAATTACTCTAGCAAGATTGTGAGTAATGATCTATTCACTCTATACATGACAAAACTTAAGTTTTTGGGTGTTTCTAGATGCAATTTGGATGATAATTGATATAAAACTTTTGCTTGTTTATTGTTATACTAATATGTAAAGCCTACATTTAAATGTTCCATTCATTTTAAATTGGTGATAATTACTTCGATGTTTCATAGTTTTCAAATTTCAATAACAGTATATTTGGCCAGTAGAAATCGTTATTTAACTATTGCCTCAATTAAAATTGAAATTATATTTCTTCTTGTTTCGTTTACATTAGCAGCATGTAAATCATATGCATAATGAGAAAAAAATCACACTAACACTGTCTTTGCTGTCGTTTTCATTCTTGTTGAAGAGAACGAAACAAAATCATACAACGTATAAGACAAGGTATCTAATGCAATGAAACTCAAGTCACGCTTCATGTGACACGTAAATGAAAGTGGAAAAAAAGAATATCACACGATCAGTGATGTTGTAGGTTTTTTTCCCTTTAATTCGTTTTTGATAAGCATACCTTCAATTACTAATAGGCATATTTTGTTATTGAGTGTCAACGAAAAAATACAATATTCATATTTGACGTCAGAGAAAAATCTAGAAAAAAACCAACGTGCATCAAATGTATAAATACAAAACGTAAACTCTGTCCAAACAGCCATCTACTATTTACGATACGCAACTACCTATTGCACACGAAATATTACATCAAAAATGAGTCAACGACCAAGACGTCGCCTTCCTGAAAACTACATGGTTATTTGGGTTGATGGAAATATGAATATGACCAATAAAGATTGCCAAAATACAATGGAGCAATTGCGTGGTGTCGTCAACCAAGTCAACCTATGTACAACGGCTGAAGAATGTATTCAACAGCTGAATGAAAATCCTGAAGAGATATCATTTGTTATCTCCTCAGGTGCACTTGGACAACATCTGGTACCAAGCATCCATGGCATGGCAAAATTGAATGCTATATTCATATTTTGTCGTAAGAAAGAACAGCATCAATTATGGGCCCAAAATTGGCCAAAAATCAAAGGTGTTCACACAACAATCAAACACATATGTGAAAAGCTGACAATTGCTATCAAACAGTGCAATCAAGATAATGTATCTGTGAGCATTGTTGGTGCAAATGAAGGAAGTTCTAGCAAAGATCTGGATCAGCTAGAACCTTCGTTCATGTATTCACAGATATTCAAGGAAATACTCCTTGAAATAGAACATGATCAGCTGGTAGCCGTTCAAGATTTGGTCAAGTATTGCCAACAAGAATATCAAGACAATACGACAGAGCTCAAAATTATTAAAGAATTTCAACGAACTTATCAACCATCCAATGCCCTATGGTGGTATACAAGACAGTGTTTTACATACAAAATGTTGAATGGTGCATTAAGAACACTGAACGGCGACATTATGATACGAATGGGTTTCTTTTTATGTGCTGTGCATCGACAAATCGAAGCTCTGTACAAGAAGTAGGTCAGTGACTATCGTGGCAAGATTTTTACAGTCTTTCGAGAACAAGGTCTATCGAAAGCAGATTTTGAAAAGCTTGCTAAAAATATGGGTGGGCTTTTTTCTTTTAATAACTTCTTATCAACAAGCACAAATCGAAAAGTCTCTCTCAATTTTGCCAAGAAAGCCTTAAGCACAAATGATATGGTTGGAATACTATTTCACATAACAATCGATCCTAACGTGTCATCAACTCCATTCGCCTCCATTCGTGACGAAAGTTATTTCAAGAGTGAAGAGGAAATCCTCTTTTCCATGCACACCGTGTTTCGCATTGGCGAAGTCCAAAAAATTGACAACAATCGTGCACTTTATCAGGTCGATCTTAAACTTACGTCGGACAATGATCCACAACTTCGAAAATTAACTGACTATGTTCGAGAAGAGGTTGACGATGTCGGTTGGTATCGAATGGGTCAATTGTTACTCAAAATAGGTCAATTCGACAAGGCCGAAGAACTGTATATGGCACTACTACAACAGATATCGGATGATAGTGATAGAGCATCCATCTATAACCAGCTCAGATTGGTGAAAACTAACCAAGGAAAATATGAAGAAGCCGCTTCATTTTACAAAAAAGCAGTCGAAATCGCAGAACAAAATCCATTAAAAAGCGATATCTATCTGAGCACTGGCTACAACAACATCGGCAAAGTGTATAATAACATGGGTGACTACTCGAAAGCACTTGAATTTTACCAAAAATCACTTAAAATAAGAGAAAAAGCTCTGCCTTCGAATCATCCCTCATTGGCTGCTTCGTACAACAACATCGGTCAAGTGTACAGCGACATGGGTGACTACTCGAAAGCACTTGAATTTTACGAAAAATCACTTGAAATAAGAGAAAAAGCTCTGCCTTCGAATCATCCCTCTTTGGCTGGAAGTCATTTGAGTTTTGCAGCATGTTACGAAAAAATGGGTGATTACACAACAGCTCTTAAGGCCCTTAAAAATGCTTATCAAATTCAGCAAAAAGCTTTTGAAGAAGATAATTCAGCTTTTGCTTTAACATACTCCTTGTTTGGAAGAGTTTATTGCCGTTTGAAAGATTACCCAAAAGCACTTGAGAATTTCGAAAAATGTTTCTCAATACGTCAAAAAGCTTTATCTGAAAATCATCCGTATCTAGCTATGGCATATAGTAATATTGGTGATGTTCATCGATTAATGGGTGATTATGAAAAAAGCACTTTCATTTCATCGAAAAGCATTAAATATTCAAGAAAATGTTCAATGTAATCCTTTGGATTGTTCATTAACATATATAAATTTAGGTGAAACATATCGAAAAATGAAAGATTATACAACAGCATTGATATATTTTGAAAAAGGATTAGAAATACGTGAGAAGAAATTATCAAAAAATCATCCTGATTTAGCTATTGTATATCACAATTTGTCAAAACTATATTTATCTACTCAAGAATATAGTATGGCAATGAAAAATATTCAACAAGCGATAGAAATTGCTCAAGAAAAATTACCTTCAACTCACCCACATCTCGTCGAATATAAAGAAACATTTGAAAATATTCGAAAGAAAATGTAATTGTTTTTTTTTCTTCTTTGTTCAATAAATTGAATTGCTATTCACTTTCTTTTTCGGCTTTTCTCGCGTACGCGCAACCAGGAAGACCCCTGTACGTCTGAAATGGGTACACGCAGAGCGAACCACACTGGACTAGTAGGGCACGACCGTAGGTATATCGTACATAATGACGACAGGGACCTCCGAACAGAAGGCCTTCCCGGGTACAACACTGCTTTCGCCATCACAGACACAAAGGAATCTTCTTGGGTCAAGTTACAAAGCCACCTGACAGGCTATGTTAGAAAAAAAAAATAAAGATAACCCTTTCCCCGAAAAAAAAAACAATTTTGGTTTCTACTCCACTATTTCTCGATTTTTCTCCCTAACAAAAAAAAAATAGAAGCAACAACATACCTTATTAACAATTGAAATATAAGTAATATAATTCATTGAAATATAATTCATTATATTAAAGTCAATGTAATAAATTCATTGTAACAAATTCATTCTGAAAAACTCATTGTCAAAAAATCAGTGTAATATATGTTATTATAACAAACTTATTCTAATGAATTAATACTGATAAATTCACTGTAATACAATTCATTATCATAAAATGATTATAATATAATTGATTATAAAGTCATTGGAATAAATTCATCATAGTAAAGTCATTGTAACAAACTCATTCTAAGAAGTGCATTGGAGTAAATTGCTTGTGATAGATTTATTATAATAAACTCAATGCAAGAAATTCATTATAATAAATTCATTGTAAAATAAATCATTATAATAAACTGATTGTAATATAATTCATCATAACAAAATCATAGTAATAAATTTAATGTATTAATTTCATTAGTGGAAATATCCACTTAGCGAGTACTAGACAAACAAATATTCGTTGTTTTCTTTGAACAACCCATGTCGTCAAAATCGCTTAAGTTTTCACGATTAATCGCGATTAATCGGCGATTTTTTTTCATAATCGCGATTAATCGGTGATTTTCTTTCATACCGCGATTAATTGTTAGTATTTTGAGAACCGCGATTAATCGTTACTATTCTGAAAAAAGCGATTGTGAAAAAGATCGCCAATTAATCGCGATTGATCGACGATTTTTTTATATTACCAACGTTAGGTATATATTTTACAGAAGTTTTTAAGAAAATGTTCTTGATAAAATCGATTCAATTCTATCAGCTATTCGTTTACCACATAATGTTAACGTCAAATTTAATTACTCCATACAATCAAGTAGCAATTGGAAATTAACAGATAATAGATTATTTGTTCTGCGTTTAGGTCTACTCCTACTTGCACCATATTTACCGGCATTGTATATATCACCTTTTGTCATTTATTGTCTTTTTGTGACACTTGTACATTGTTCCAAAACAAGATAAGAGATTCAATTATCTAATTAATTAATTCATTATTATCGTCAAACATTATCAAAAGTATATGGCCCATAGATTGAACTATATTTTTTATTTTCATACTTCCATATACCGTGACAAGTGTTGAGCAATTGACGATATTTTCTCCCATCAGTTTCATCATTTTTCTTTGTATGGTAATGTTCTTATTTGAAAAATTATTGGATATCGTTGAGTATTTTGTTCTAGACTATGGTGGATTAGCTTCTACATCTTCGTTTTGTTTTGAGTCAACAATTCGGCATATTAAAAATAAATTTCATGGAACAAGCAAATCTTGGATCACAAATAGGCTACTGGTGTGATATTGGCACAATTGTACCGTGCAAAGAATTTAAGCTGTGATCGCTGTTACTAGTGAATAAAATAAATCTTGATAGCCATTTATTGAACGCTTATCGCGATACATTGGTAAAACCATTAAGAGAATTACAAGACAATATTATTATGATCAAATTATATTTACGTTTTAAAGATTAATTTCCAATTTATCAATGATTTCTATATAGTAATCGATATACCTGTATGAGTTATTTAATATTGTATAATGATACTCATCAACAGATTCATTATGGTGATATTAGTCTTTTTTGTATTCAACAGTATACACTATTTATTAATACAACAATATCATCGAGCTGTTGTTAAAATTTCTGACTTTCTGGAAATTTTCGATGAATTAAAAGATACAATCGATTTGTTTTATCCTATGTGCTTTTTGAAAAGTGATATATATGCTATCATTTCAGCTAGTCGCATTGTTAATAAATTTATATCGATACCATTCCAACAATACCAATGTATTAATGAAAAGCATGTGAAATGCAAACACGATTAAATATTATTACTATTTTCTTCTTTTTCTTTCCACAGAAACATTGCCAAAAGAAATGTAATTAGGTAATGAAAAGGCAGAAAAACTAACTCGTTTAGCATTTTTTTTTCTTATTCATAAGAAGAAAATGTAAACTTTCGATGTGTTTTATACGTCATTATCAGACAAAATGAATAAGGGATTGAACAGACTAGACGAAATAAAATTGAATCAACCATTAAGTCATCTCTAAAAGATCATTTAAATATGAACGAATCAATCACGCTGTTGAGTTCAGTATTATTTCGTCTAGTCTGTTCGGGCATAATAATGAAATTGACGATAGACTGTGTTCTTTTTTTTGTCTCTATTAATTTTTATATACACTGCAATGCAACAACTATAATAACAAAAAGCAAAAAAAAATTATTTTCTCTTCCTTGCATTGCAGTGTTTATAAAAATCGATGCAGATGAAGAAGAGCATAGTCTATAGACAATTTAACTCTCAATCATTGTGACTGATAATGGCGTGTAAAATACGCCAACATCTACGTTTTTCTTAAGAGTAACAGATAAATCCATTAGGTAGGGCAGTAGATGTAAAAGAAGAGAGAAATGAGTAAATGACTGCTACGAAATACATGAGAATTTTTAACAAAATTCAATGCTTAATTTTATTTATTCCAGCTTTTGGTAAAATTCTTTCGCCATCATCAGGAAAGGTAACAAGCGCCAAAGAACAGAACATACATATATACATATAGTCGGCTGATTATGACAAGAAAACAAAGAAACAAAGAAAGAAAATATGGATTCGTGAATATATACCTCCTTTCTTTTTTTGTTTTCTTGTCGTAATCAGCCGACTATATATATATATGTATGTTCTGTTCTTTGTCTCTTGTTATCTTTCCTGATGATGGTGAAAGCATTTTACCAAAAGCTGGAATAAATAAGAATAACCATTGGATTTTATTAAAGCTATCATGCATTTCGTAGCATTAACAGATAAGTAAAATGAAATAGAAATTAGTATTTTGTGGTTTTTCATTTCTTCCTTATTTTATGTTTCTTTCATTTTATGTAGATCATGTTGTTGTTTATAATATCAAAGGTTTTACTATGTGTTTTGTTTTCTATTATAAATTAAATCATTTTATTTTTGTTGGCTTGTGAAAGATGAAAACGGAAAGCTTTCTTCTTCTCCTCTTTCTACATACATGTATTTTTTGTTCTTTTTCCTTTGTTCTAAATGTCTTCAAAGTCCAACATTTGTCAACGGTCTTATCTCACACAACTTGTTTCAAAAGAAACAAAAACTTATTCATGCATAGCCTACCCTGATGAACCACTTAAATAAGGTATAGTTGATTCAAAACGATTGTCGAAATTAGATGGTCGGGTGTGGGTGTGGGTGTGGGTGTGGGTATGGGTGTGGGTGTGGGTGTGGGTATGGATGGGTGTGGGTGTGGGGTGTGAGTGTGGGTGTGGGTATGGATGGGTGTGGGTGTGGGGTGTGAGTGTGGGTGTAGTAATAAACACTCATACCTACACCCACTCACACCTACACGCACACCCACACCCAGACCCACACCCACCCACACCCGCACCCACACAGCCCCACACTCACACCCACACCCACACACTCACACCCACACACCCACACCCATACCCACACACCCACCCACACCCACACCCATCCACACCCCACACCCACACCCACACCCACCAACAAAAAAGCTACCCTTCAAACAACAGCCATACAATCATCCTAAATCCAATATGCCACCAACATCAACCGAATATCTTCGATCATTAGATCGGACTCCACAGGAATTTAATAACTCATTTTAGAACATCTAACTCACATCTCTTTCCTTTTTCGAGTCTCATTGTTCTTTTCACGTTTTTTCTTATCAGACAAACGTTTTATTTAACTTCTCTACTATAATACTATAAATAATAAATCTTTCCTTTCATTTCAGATAAAAACAATGAATTCAACAACAAAATGGAATACATATTCAATCACATATTATTTGTAACATGGTAGAAAATCTTTGTTTTGAATTTTTTAATTCAAAATAGATAACCCATTTGAAAATCGTCGTAGCTGACGTGAAACTAGCTATGGCAGCTTAGTGTCAACTGAATCTACTATTACTTTATAATCTTTTTATTTATTATTTTGTAACAATGTAGATAAATCTTTGTTTTGGATTCTTGTAATTCATAATAGATATAAGCCATTTGATGAGACTCGTAGCAGAGTCGAAACCGGTTATGGTAGCTGTTCTCAACATTATAAAAAGACTTGCGGCATGTAATTGCCGAATATACAAATTAGATGCTAAAATGAAACACTCTCTCAACACCGATTTTTCTCTACTACCAGTCCATCCTTTTTATTCATACAGAAAATCCCACATCTATAAACGAAGTCAAAGTCATAATTGTTTCCTTGTTTAGCATAAAACTAAAACACACGTTAGAAATTTATTCATTCTTGCGATTTTAGATAAAAATATTAGTTAGAAAAAATTATGAATGAAAATATGTGTCCTAAATAATGAAAAATAAAATGGATATCGAATCATAGTTGTCAGCATTTCTGTTAATCATCTATGCCACTGTCACTTGGAATGTTCGGATTTGCATTGGTGTGAGTCTGACGCTTGTATCGTTCAATGATTGCTCTTCTAAACAGAACAATTCAATTAAAAACAAAAATCCTAATTAAAACTACATACTATGATCAGTCGCACGAGATGATTGCTTATCACTAGTGACCCAATTCAGTCGTTGCAACTCAGCTAGTGGTAAATTTCCACCAAGTGTCAACTCAACTGTGTTAGTAATTGTTCCAATTGATTTCAATATCGATTGTAAATCAATAGTCACTGGATGTGAATATGTATCGTCTTCATTCAATTCAAAATAATGTTCAACACGAATAAGATAATCTTTTGGTCCTAATTGGTCTAATGTTAATAAATGAAGATTCAATGGTAATACATCTGTTAATGCTGACCATGTTAGACGATATGCAGTTGAATAATTAGCATAAGTTTGTTGAGTTAATGAATATACAGCAAGCGGATGCATGTACATATTTTGAGCACTAACACGATGTACAAGAGCACTTGTAGCAGGTGCATCTACAATAAGTGAATGTCTACCACGAACAACAAGACCTTCACCAAATGCAGATTCATTCAAAGCTTCACTAACACCAAGGTCATCGTCGTAGAGAAGGCGTCGATGTAACATGATTTCGACAGAACCATCATGAAGACTAGCACCACCATGGGAGCGATCTGTACAATTAGAAAACAAGAACAAATTATATCATTTCAATATCAAAATTATCTAACACATTTCTAAACTCTTTCAATCAGTCTATGATGTTTACCTGTGAGAACAGTGAATTGTCGAGTTTGATCTTTAATCCATATTCGACTATTTACTGGATAATAATTTCCACTCACTGGTTCAAGAACTGTATAGTTCCATGTTGGTCGATAATCTCTTGTTCGTTCAAGAACTTCACGTCCATTTGCATCAGTATAATATTTTGCTTGACTTTGAATATCCGTATCGTAACGAATAATAATTTCTTTTCCAATATTATCACTGACTGGAATAGGTCCAATTGTCCATTCAACTTCAACATTTTGAGCTTCATCATATAAACTTATTTCTTGACTTGCCCAGTCATTGAAAACAATCACGGCTGTCTGAACACTTAGTGCTTTCATGCAGGTGCTAGTTTTATGAGAAGATTAGAGAGAGATATTCGATAAAAATACTTACATTGTACGAGTTTGACTAACAGGTTCGGCAGTTTGTGTAAGCGGTCGAAAGACATAAGCACCAGATGCTTGAAATTCAGGATGAGAATTATTACCAGGGAAGCCTGAGTTATAAGAAGAATGAGAGTCAAATTGATGAACTTATGATCGTTTTTGACGTACCTTGATACCAATAGAAACCTTGATTTGAAAATGATACATCAAAACTCCTTCTTAAATTAACAATATGTTGTAAATTTCCCTGAGCATCAATTTCAACTCGAATATTCTACAAACGACAAATGAAATATATGTAATATAGTCGATTACCCTAATAACGACGCGAAAAAAGAATTTTTTTTGATTGACCTCATACCCGACTAATTTACATTCGATTTCAAATATTTTTATATTTGCATAATCCTTGCCAGTTGCCATTCGAAATAGTACGACAGTGGTTTTTCTCTAAAATGTTGTCGCTGAGAAATCAGCGGCCAGGTGATCGACATGTCACTATGACGTTATTAGGACCAGCTTCCGTAATTACGACATCACATGTAAATCAGGGTCTCTAGTAACGATACTGCATAGAAATCGAAGTAGAAGAGATACTTCTTATAGAAAAAGTTTTTTCCTCGCGTTTTCATGAGGGTTAGAGCGAAGATCTCGCTGGCACTTCTGAAGGTCACATCAAGCCCTATCTCGATCCAAAGGTTCATGCAAAATAGTTTTCACTAGATGGGACCCAAAAAGTCAAAAGCAGACCTTTAGAATTGTTTAAAAAAAATAAATATCCTTAATAACGACGACCAGCTAATTTTTGATCCTAAGAACGACGCGGTACCACGTAAATGTTGACAAGATTTTGTTTATAAATTACGTCCCTTTCTATGATTCTTTAACAGAGTTTACGGAAAATCCTAAAAGTAAAGCACTTCTTGTGAGCATCATATGTGAGTCATAAATGGGCATCAGCGTAACGTATATATAGAAAGAAAAGGACAATAGCAAAAGATGACCTTCGTGGGACTCGAACCCACACCTTCTGCTATCCGGGCAGATGTCATAAGCCAGTTAGACTAGAAGGATACATCTTAATCTTAGTTTAGCGTCAGAGTGTATTATCACTGACGCTAACACTTCTGTTGATGATCTTATATCAATAATTATTTTGAATAATTTATCGATGCCTTCCATGTGACGTCAATATAGATGTCGCAAGTGAAATAGTTGTGTTCTTCCATTCGTGCAATCGTCAGAGAGGATAACAATACAGATAAGATGATGGAGTTCAATAAAAAAGATTTTTTCTTGATTATCTTATTCAAGTCATTATGAATAAAATCATTCGAATTCTCTATAGAAAGGATATTTCTTAAGTTAATTCACTGTCTAATTTCTCTTTATTGATTTCATAATTATTTCACTATTCAAAACCCATCTGAGGCTTGCAAATCGAAAATATATCGAGACGAACTAAGTGTTTGCATGGATGACGCACGTATGTGTACAAGAAGTTCCGAGAAAAGTTCCAGTGTGTTATACATAGAACAGTAACTAAGCAGAGTAAGTGAAGACAATTGGAGAACATCAAAAAAATAAAAAATGAATAAATAATAAGAACATGATAAAATATCTGTAGGAGAATATTATTTATGAATGTCAATCAAATCTTCTTTCGATATGAACGTCGAGATTGTTGTACAAGTTTCTTCTTGAGTTCTTTGGCTCATCTCGTGTTGGCTCTTTTTTCAACTCTTCAAGTTGATCTCCATTAGTAATATTTCCACCAAATTGCCACTGTACACGCACACGTGGGTTTGCTTTGACCGGTGCTGGTGGAGTATATTTATTTTTATCTTGTAAATAAGATGAGATGATTGATCGAACAGCAGTTGAAGGACTTGTTTGAAGGGTTGTCAGTGGCGCTGTAATGTTTGAATGTGCATTTTCATCGAATGAAGAGTTACAGCTTTCGTCCGAATCTAGAATATTTATGAGAAGAATGAATAGAAAATCCTTTGCGTATTGTTTACCTTGATGGAACATATTCTTATTCGTTGGTTGTTGCTTTTTGAAAGATTCGGTTTGAAGAGAGACATTCGAATCACTAAAAAAATAGAATGAATCTAGATGTGAAGAAATTCGTCGAGATTTACTGACCCAATACCTGTCGTCAAAAGTTATTTGCGAACGAGACGACGACGGTGGACAGCTATTCAAGAAGAAGTCGCAGATAGAACAATTCAAATATTTATTAATGGAAACAGAAATAATTAATGCTCACATGAAATCACCAACTGTTACGGAAATTGAAACAATCCAGATATACTCACTTAAAATCCATTTGAACTGGAGCAGGCGAATGATCACTAGTGTTTGTATCAACACCAGCTGTTTGTATCTCATTGATCAATGATGACAACACGTTGATTGCTGATGAACCGAAACACGTCACTTACAAAAAAAATATTGCTGTCATCTTCTCCTACGAGTCAGTGAGGAGATTATTGTTCAATGAACGACGACCGACCACTTTGTTTTTCATGCCTTCGTTGTTAAACGGCCAAACACTGGCTCTCTAGAAACCATCCAAAACAGCACCTGATGAGAATGAGCTTGTGAAAAGATCGTTCAAAAGCTTTGGAAAATCCACTTTTCGAATCGTTTTTCGTTGAGTTTTCCGAAAGTGAGATGATACTACACTTCGCCATTTAATTTTAGCAGGACTAAAATTATACAAAGTATCATTCATTCAAAGAAACCTGTATTAATGGCGTAGTCAACCAGCGGTCTATGTCGATCATCGAACTGCTAACTTGGCTGATAACTCTTATTCTATTCATATATAGATTCGATGGCTGCGAGAGATATGAAGTAGGATATAAAGCGAAACTTGGACTTGGGAAACGAGTGAAAGCTATGCTTATCAATATATCTATCTCTTGTTTAGAAAGTGTTAGTCGATTGAGCCAAATACATCTCATCTTACAATGGAGGTGTGTGTATTGTTGAGCGAAAAAGCGGCACATGTTCGGGTCAAATGAAAGCTCTCAACGCCAAACAAACAAGGTTAAAATATTAGCTGCTGTTGGCTTGCCTAGATGGAGATATTTAA